CGACAACTGGCTCGAGCCCGCACGCGGGCCCCTTATATAGCGACGGCCGGCCGAAGATCGGCGAAAATTTCCGAATTTTACCGATTCCATTAATTGTTATTTTTCCGCCCTAATAGCCAATAATTTAATAATTTTTTCACTGCTATGATAAATTTACATTGTAAACAATTTGTTAATATCATTATTAATTTGTTATTAACAATGGATGTAATAATTTATAAACTTTTTGTAAATTATAGATGTATTTTAACGTGTCGTACGTCGTAAGTTCCAGTAATATCCAGTAACTTATTAATTTTCTCACTTTTGTTATAAATTTATGTTATGGACAATTTGTTATTAACAAAATTAATTTGTTATTGGCAATCATTATAATAATTTATAAACTTTTTGTAAATTATATACTTACTTTTACACAAGTGCTTTGTATCTTCAAGTAATAGTCAATAATTTATTAATTTTTTCACTTTTATTATAAATTTACGTTGTGAACAATTTGTTATTAACAATAACAGTTTGTTACTAATGCTAAATCTAATAATTTATAAACTTTTCACAAATTATAATTACACTTGCGCTTTTAGAATATAAACTTCCATGATGCATTTATGTCATATCTTTTCTTGAAATTTTCATAGTGTAATTCCTTCTAAATTGTTTACAAATTTTGTTAGATTTCTAATAATTCTTAATTACTTCTTAATAATTTTTTGTTATTTATTCCATCAATATGGATACCTTTCCTGTTAATTTCTATTTTTATTTTAACACAACAAAACGAGAGTAATCAATTCGAAATAGAAAGTGACGTCACTAACGTCATTTACATAGGCATCTATAAATCCCTCTATCTTCAAATTTGAATATTTTCCAAAACCCCAAATTTCCGCAAAATTTTTTTAATGGATATTAAAACTCTCAGTAAAGTCTCTTAGACAACGCGACTATTTTTCTGATTCTTTATTCAACCACCGATAAAAATGATCATATCCTGCAACAAGAATTGCGCGAGTAAATTCATAGTTATTTTATATCGTCAAATAGCAAAATTTATAGGAAAAATGTTGCAAACACAAAATGTCCTAAGTAAAAGATATGCCGGGTACATGGGTTAAATTTTGTCAACTTCGATAACCCGTACCTCGGCAAATTGGTTGTCATATTTCAAAATTTATGCGGCATGTACATTTGCTGCACCGAAATGTGCAATATATAACAAACGCGTTATAGTAACAAGACGTAGTTTTACGCTTGAAAAATTGTCTTTTGGCAAGCTTCTCGGCGAGATTCCCCATTGTGCGACGTAACGCCTGCCGAAATTCCGGGATGAATAACGGAAAGAACAGGTTGGTATGCGGTTCTTCGCTCGCGATATAGTCGGTGGGTCCTGCAAAAAAAGGGAATAAGGATCAACGAATGGTCCATATCGCGGCGGATATAGGGGGGAAAAGGATCGGGAAACGGAATCGATGAAATAGCATTCATTCGCCGGAAACTTCTCGCATAACTTTTGCAGTCATCAGCAATGAAACGCTTATTGCGGACGGATTCTCTCATATATTGGCTGCCATTCGCCCCGTTGGCGCTTCCTTCCATTAACGTGGCCGAGTTTGCCGTCGCTTTATTAAAAGCATCGTCGCGTCTTTTCGACACGCAATGCTTCTCGACTCGAACTTTCGTAGAATAAATCCCACGGTCCTGCGGATAATTGCGAACGGTCGGCCGACCGCTTTTCCCCTTACAAATCGCCGGTTAATAACGCACTCGAAACGGTCCCCTACCGAATTCCTAGTCCGACGAAAGCCATCGCTTGCATCGGACTCGATACCAGGTGGACTGCACGGGAAAGAAAATAAGCCAGCGGCAATCGGATTTATTCGGTTTTCCACGTAACAAAGATCGTTCCATTCGTCTAATCCTATGGTACGTTCGCTCGACGATATTCTCGCGAGCGTAGCGAATCGAGAAAATTCCGCCACATTCCACTCCAGCTTGAGCACAGAGTCTTGCTCGCGTTCCACGGAATTTATGATTATTTGCCCCTATTTTTCTAGAAATTCCCACAATAATTCTGCCTCTTCTCTCACTCCATTCAGCCGGTAGAGAAGACGCCTCGGAAGAAGACATCGCGTCGGTCTATATCACGGTTATATCGACAATGTAAACGCATCGTTGGACGTCGTAATAACGCGACGATACCGCGGGAGAGAGACGAAAACAACGGAGACAAAAGGGACCTAGGTGCAACCCGACTTCTTCGCAGGTTTGCCCTTTTTTTCCTTCCCCACCGTCTTCGTCGTCTTCTTCTTCTCCTTCTTCACCTTCACCTCACCTCTTCCAGCCAGCTCGTTCGGTCGCCTTTAAAGGCGCCATCCTTGCGCATCTTATTTCCCATTCCTTCCTCGGGCTGCTTGAATACCGTATCAAAGGATATTTAAACCGGTCTTCGGTTTGAAAGAAAGTTTCCTTTGGGGTCGTGGAACAAAAGAAGCCAGGCGAGAGCAACGCGCGCAATCCTCTCGACAATATTTAATGACCGGCATCGTCGTCGTCGTCGTCGTCGTCGTCGTCGTCGTCGTGGTTGTGGTTGTAGCCGTGGTTCGATTCACCGCGCGACGTCCGTCGAATTTCTCTGCCCGTGGACCGTCCACGTTCGCGCCTCGTAGTCGCGGCAAATCGCCTCCGTGATCGCGGAATTTGAATATAAATCTCGTAGCCCCGTTTATTGCGGTCCTTCGAGCCGTGGCACAGTAGCCGGTCCTCCTTTTTCGTCGATCGTTGTACGCTCCGTGTATTATGTGCCCGTGGAATCTCTTCTTCGATCCTTTGGCTCTCGGGACGCTTTCGAAATTCATGACCGGAGGGCGGTCACGTTACGGGGACTCGGGCCAAAGTGTACACTGTGCAGTGTAAACCCATATGCGCGTATGTCTATTGATGTATCGCTGGTAATCAGGGCGCAGAATCGTCCGTGGCCGTGTATCACCATCGACGACCGGATAAACGAGCCTCTTCAATAATACATAAGACGGATTCCTGGCGAGATCAAAGGCTCGTTTCCTCGATCGGTGATCAATTAAGCGACTCAAGATGCATATGGAAATGCCAGTAGGCCACTCCATTCAACCGCGACCCGATATACACGGCTCCGATGCCTCGCGGTACATACGCGGTCTACCCGTGTCTGACTATGTCGAGACTTTTCTACTTGCCGCGATTAATTCCAACCTGCACCACCACTAGCGGCCGTGCGCTTTCAAGCACGATTGCGTCGGTGTGTCGCGGTGCCCGCAGCGGATCGTCGCGCGTTGTATCGCGATTTTTCATAGTAATCGGGATACCGGGGGTATTAAATTTAATGCAGACGAATACATCGGTGCTCCGGATATTTTAATTAATCCAACGAGCACGACATCCGACGTCCCTATCCAGCGATTCGATCAACCGTTTCCCTCTTTAGTCACGGTTAAATGGAAACATCGTATCAAGAATCCAGTCGTCTCTCGACTTATTACTGTTTCGTATATCAACGCTGCTACCAGCGCTGTTGCGGACTGCTCGCCGCAACCCGTTTACACAGAACGATTCTCGTTAATGATAAATCAGATGGGCCGACAAACTGATCAAAGGGAGATGACCACGCGACCCGGAAGCAATTAAGCTTTCGAAGGTAGACGATGAAATACCCAACAGGACATTCGATTTGCCGGTATGCCCGCGCCCGCTGCATTGGAATTCGCCCCGTTGTGTCTAAGCACGTTAGGCGTTTTCTACCGGCGTTCCGGAACTATCGCGTGCTGTCGGCTATCTTTTTCACCGATCGTTCCCATCGACCGCCACAAAGCTGTTTCCGACGCTTTAAACGCCTCCCCCGCCGTCCGATCTTTCATAATTTCCACGCAGCGCTTGACAAGGATCAAAGGATGTCTATCCGGGGATCGATACTCGGTCGAAGTTTCCAAAATGAGGAAGGAAATTAACGGAAGGTATTAATACAGCGATTCCTCTTACCATGCGTCGCGAACAAAGCTCGGTTACGTTGTCATCCCCTGCTTCGCGTACACGTCGGATTCCAAAGAGCCCGGGTAACTCGATCTTCGCCTTACGTCGTTAAGTTTATAAAATAAACGCCGCACCGTTCTATCTCTCCCGTGAACGAAATTCTCGCGCTATCGGGTGCATGGACGACGACGACGAGATTGGTACTCGTTGGCTCGTTAACTCGCTGAAAAATTATTAGTCTAGGTAAGACCTAGGGATTAGGAGGCCAGGAGCTGGCCGGTATCGTGTCGTCAGCTATTCGAGATCTTTTCTCGACCACGTACAGACAGCTGCGTGGTAGCCGAATCGATGATCACGTCCGATGGAACATCGCACAGCTGCTGTCGAGGAAGCAGATTCCGGCGAGATCGTGGCGCGGCCAACTTTTCACCGAAACGATATTAAGTTCTAAGGACAGTCGGGATATTAAAAGTGACATTTATTGGCGAACGTGCGCCGGTTAACGCGCAGCGGAATCGATAACTGTTGCAGGTCACCGTCGACCTGGGTAAGGACGCCGAATTCCAGTGCTCGGTCACCGGCCAACCAATCCCGGTGATCTTCTGGACGAAGGACGGGCTTCCCGTGGGAGAGAGCGCTTCCGGTCGGAGCAAGATCACGGGGAACGACGGGTCGACGTTACGCGTGTCATCGGTGGTGAGGGACGACAAGGGGATGTATCAGTGCTTCGCGAAGAACGACTACGAGATGGTGCAGGCGACGGCGGAACTACGACTAGGGGGTGAGTGGCTTTAATTCTTAAACTTCCATCCGGCCGTTTTATGAACGGTGCGTGGATAAGGCGAGAGAAATGGGACGCGGTCGTGGCCGTTAACGCGCCCTGGCCCTGGCCGGGAAATTACCTCTTCGAAAGTTAAAAATTTAAGGGCAATGAAAATATATCTGGCGCCCAACCCCTGCCCGGTTACCGAGTAACTTTCCCGCCGTAATTCGTACAACACGAAGACGTACTTAAACCGTTGCGCGAAGAGTCAAGACGGATTAGTGTACCTAAGCGCTCGTAACCCGCCTCCCTGGCGAGTTGCACGGGGCTGCGCGGAAGTTTTATAAAACTTCCAGTCTGAAAATAATAAGGCTAAATTAAAGCTATTACCGGGCGACTGTTAACCAAGGGGTCGGCGGTCTCTGTTGCGAAACTTTCGTACGACCACTTTGACCAACCTTTTTCTCCATTTTCCCTCCTCCTTTTTGTTTTTAATCGCTTTTCGTGCACCGTTCGCCAGCCGAGTCCGTTAAACGCGACGAAAAAGAGAAGAAGGAGAGGAAATACGTATTACAATGACGCTTTATCCCGTTATCCGCCGGATGGGTTAAATATTTTTAATTAACGACAAAGTTGGCCGTTCGACAGACGCGAGCCGTGCTCCGTTAATCCGACCCTTCGACCGAGAAGAAGAGAGAGAGAGAGAGAGAGAGAGGGGGGGCCTTCTTTCAGGGGCGAAGAACGCGTGGAAAGTTGGGCCGACTAGCGGCCGATATCGAGCCAAGTATAAAATTCCCCGACCCTTTAGTTTCGTTCAGAATTTCACCTGGAATTTATATCCAGTCTGGCAACACGATTCCACGCTTCGTCGCATCCTGCTGCTCCCCTTACCCGACTTATCTCCCGCCTGGCCGTCTTTCTCTTACCTTTCGCCCCTCGTCAGCGTCCCCGGCAAGTCCCTCTCGTTCAATACGCGCGCAACCGAATTCTTTCATTACTCCGTCGGTTTCTCTCGATCCCGACGCGACGCGGTCTAGCCCATTCTCGCGTGCGGAACGAGGCGCGGGTTCGAGGAGGGCGACGCGACAAAAAGCTCGGTCTGGAAACGTTGCAGGGTGAAATAAGACCGCCAAGTTAGGACGAACGAGCGAGCGAGCGAGCGGAAGACGAAGGGAAAGAAGGTGTAAAGGACGAAAGGAAAGGGTGAAGGATGGGCGAAGGCAGGACGAAGAAGCCAGGGGGTAGCAGTGGCTGGGTGGAAAAAGACGGGGGAGAAGCGTGGAAAGGAGGAGGGAAAAAATGCTTAACGAGGGCGATGCATAATGGAGAAAGGAGAAATCCACTGGCTGGCGTGCCGTGAAATAAATACATACCATTTGTCTTAGTCACGAGGGTGGGAAGCCGGGTGAGGTTGCCGCCAGCTCGCGGAGTGAAAGAAACGCATCGCCAGCCAACGTTCGTGGGATGAGAACGTTGGTTAAAAGTGTTGCTATCCGTTCGAAATTCCCGCGCAAAAACCCACGGCGAACCAACATGGCGTATCGCAGGCCGAATATTCCCCGGCTGACGTCTTTAAAACTGGCGTACTACGAGAAGGCCGCACTCGCGTGACATAATCCATTACCTTAAACGACGCTGTCAGTCGACCGTCTTAAGTGCACGTACATACCGACGGCTATTTTCGTCTTAGTGTCACGTATACGCGGCTGAGGCATCAGCCAACATTTCTCACCGGCTTCATGTCCCGGGTACCGATGTCTCCGTCGTTCCCCGTGTAGTACTCCGTGTACTCTTCCCTCGCCTCGCTGCTTCCAGGAGGGGCGCGACAGCGGATCTGGAAAACGTTAGAACGTTGAGAATCGAAAAGTGCGTCGTTGAGAAATTAGGTCGGAGAGGGTAATCGATCGTGTCCACTTCGCGATAGACGCGAGTCGATCAACGTCGCCCTTGGAATAACTCGAAACTCGTTCTTAATTCCGAATTTCGCTTCGTAATTACTTCCGACTCGTTCAACGATGACCAAGGTTCTTAATTATCCGCCGAGCGTTCTCGCGCGTGTATCGGAGCGTGTCCTGGCCGAGCGGATAGAGAATAGAAAAGACAGGAGTTCGTTTATTTCCCGGCTCGGCTCTATTTCTCAGTCGAGGCGTTGCGCTGTGGAAATTTTTAAGCGTGGAGAAAAGTCGGAATTTCGCGTCGAGCAGGAAACGCGTTCAATTCTCGGCAGTTAATAACTTTCGCTTTCCGTCCGCCGATAAGCCACGACGTTCCCCGTTCGTGCGTTCCTTTTGTTCGCGCGGACCAGCGGCCTCCTTTTCATCGACCACCGCTACTGTCCTTTTAAATAATTTATGCGTTTAACCGAAACGAGTATACAGGGGGGAAAAAGGGGAAAAAACTAGGAGAAAAACCGGAGAATGAAAATCGTTCGTCCCTTCTCTCTCTTTCTCCCGATGCGTATCGCTTTGTGCAACTCGAAATAATTGGAAGCGGACTAATCCTCTCGCGTAACAAAGGGAAAGAATCAAAGCGGCGAACTTTTGTAACGATGTCGAAGCGACTTTGAAAAGGGGAAAAACAGATGTAGGTACGCGTAGCGTAGAACCGCTTCTATCCACTACGCGCGTGATGTTTTTTTTCTTCTCCTCTCGTCCTCTCTGTCTGTGTCTATCCATCTCTCTTTTCTTCTTTCAATCTATTTCGCCGGGGAAAGCGGAACGGTTTATGGAACGCGCATATGGCTCGCGAAAAAGAATTAGAGAGAAGGGAAACCGTCGATTTTGGCTACGGGCCAAATGATCCTGCGAGAAAATTCTGCTGGTCGCGAAGCTGCGAAATATTTTGTAAAATACCGGTGTTAAATTTTTCACGGGCCCGCAGCGTGAGTCAATATTCCGCGGGACTCGGGTCGTCGGTGGTGTTTCATTTTTAAACGAACGTAACAATAAAGAGGTGTTCCGCTCGATTCCAAAGACGAACTCGCGCGGTAATATCCCGTCATCGTTTTCACGGAACGCGAGAGATCGCAGCCGTTCCCCGATACTGGCAAACTTCCATTTTATTTATACCGCTTTAGCGCGTTTACAGGGCCGGCAATCACGGTACGGTAAATAATGTCTTCCTGTCGAATTACCCGATCGCAAATCGCGTCGCGCGATACGCTCTGCTTCCCATCAACGGGATTCCGCTGCGTTCCCACTCGATCCGAGAATAAAACGCGCGTAAAATTTTATTAGGAATTTTTAGGAAATCGCGATATCACGGGCCGCTTTCGGGCAAATAACTTCGAAATGTGACAGATGCACCGACGATCTCGGAAAATCGATACGACGCCGGTATTTCCGCAGGTCATCGACGCGGGTTCGCTGGCCGAACGCGTGGATCGCGAAGTAGACGCGACGCGACGAAGAACAATTAATCCGCCGTCGTCCTAACAACGGCCTAATGGCGACGTGTATATCATCGAGTCGTACTACTGCGAGCGTCTGATCACCAGGGCGCAAACCACTTCGGACCTCATCAAAGCTGTACGCGCTAAACCCGGCCAGGTTGCGCCCGCAACTTCTCTCTGTTCGATAATAACTGCAAATTGTTCCCAAACGGCCATTAAGAATCCCGGAACCGACAAACTCCGTCGGGAGACCGTGTCGACCGAAGAAAAATAGAACTCCCGCGGGTATCACGATTAAATACCGAAGCGAAATCCTAATCTTCCTTCCTCCTGTCACTTTTTCACTGATCCACGTTTCGCCCGTTTCGTTGATATAATAAACCGAAAGGACACCGGGAGCCGGGACGCGGATGCTGGACTCGCGACTCGCGTGGCGGAACGAGGCGCGTTCGAGATGAACGGCGAATGGGGAACGGCGCGAAGTTTTCGATAATCGGCCAACGGGGTGAATGACAACGAACGCGGCAGGGCCATCGTAGAATAATACGCGGACCGCAAAACGGGGCGTGGCATCCGGCAATACGGCATCCTGATTTACGCCGTGAGCAAACAGCCGCGCAGCTCTGTGCAGCTCGGTTATTGTCGGCTCTATAATTTGGGGTTAATTCACTAGGCGGCACTCGAGTTCAGGCGTCAAACCGCAGATCGATAGTTCTGCCCGCGTACAGGTCTTGTCATGTAAATGTTGCGTGCATAATACCCCGCCTTGCGGCGAGCCAGGATCATTTCCACGGAACGTACGCGCCGCCTCCGCGCGTGTGCGTGTGTGCGTGACCCCAGACACCCATAGGCCACCTGAGGCAGGTGCACCGCGCCAATATTCTCCCCGCAGCTACCTGGTCGTTAGCTGACCCCGCACGAATTTCCAACCCTTGCCCGAACTTGCGATTCGGTTGGATCCGTGCTCCGGCTGTGCCGGGTTATCGTCGTGGACTCGCGTTACGGAGTTCGGCTCCCGGCGCAGATTCGAACGTGTCGAACGTGAAATTCGGGTGTATCAGCGGCGTAGAACGGGGTTGGAAATTATCGACGGGACTGGACGATGGCACGTTCTCGCTCACGGAGGCAGCGGGGAAATAATAAGGAAGAAGCTCGCGTGATTTCTCAAGTAGCGAGCTTCGGGAATAGTCGGCCGGGCCGCTCGTAGCTGCTCGTATCCACGCACCGTCGAATTATTTCGAAATCTCTACGTGTTCTCGGTGAATTCCGGCACGATCGATTCACCCGATGAAATTGAAACACGCTGGCCCGGGGTAATGTTGCTAGATTCGTTATTTAGCTTTCGGTTGCACCGCGAGCGTTTCGCTGGAGGGTGAGGTTCGCGTAACCCCCTTGTCGAATTACGACTCCTCTCCCGCGGTGAAAGAGAGCTGGGAAAAAACGCGTTAGCTGAAAACGGTCAAATGAAAAACCCGTGAAACACAATAACCAACTGAATTACGCCGACATATATTTTTTCGCGGCTCTTTTTATTTTTGCTTTTTAATTACATCCCCGTGGAGTTTTCGGCAGACCTGCGGGAACGCGGTATCTCTGCGAGCGTACAAGTCACGCGCAAGAAAATTTTATTCCGCCTTCACGCTCACCTTCGACTCGCTTTAACGCCCATTACCGCGGCGTCGTTTGCATAATTATAAAAACTGCTCGTCGACGTTGGCCGCCGCCGCCGCCGCCGTCGCAGCCACGATCGAGAAGCGTTTAAAACTTTAATGGTGCTCTCTTCAGACGCGGCGCCGCAGCTTCTGTACAAATTCATCGAACAGACCATCCAGCCTGGCCCTTCGGTATCGCTCAAGTGCATCGCCACCGGAAATCCGACGCCGCACTTCTCCTGGACCCTGGACGGATTTCCTCTTCCGCAGAACGACAGGTAACGACGCTCCTCTTCTTTTTACCTCGTCCGCGCGTGAATCGGGAATCAAAGGGGCATAGAGTGACCCTTCTTTTTTCACCTTCTCCTCCTTTTTTCGCCCTTTTCTGGAAGAACGCGGTGCCGATCTTTACACGGGGATCAAAAATCGATGGATGGTGTGTACACAATTATTTTCGGTTATTAAACCGCGGCTATTACGGTCGACGGAAAATCAGACCAGCTTGCCACGTTATAACGCCGGGTCCCGTGGGAACGGATACCTCCCTGCGGGCTTCGATTCTCTGAACCAATTGAGGGGAAAATTACCAATCAACCGGGCTCAGTCTAAACTTTTTAGAGCCGCTCCATTTAGAATGATAGATTTGACCGCGTGTACGCTGTTCAATAACGTAACCACGTGTGTTTTCCTTCCTTCTTGGGCATGTCTCCACACCGTCTGTCCCTGTTAAGCGACTCGTGATCCCGTCGATAATGATCTCGTTAGGAACGAACTCGAGGTCGATCTCTGCCTTTCGATTCTCCACGACCCGGTGGACCAGGAAAATGTTTAACGACCCGGGACTCGGGGTTGCGTTATTTAATCTCGCTTATCGAATTTCCACGATTCGAACATGCGGGGGAAACCTTCGAGATAGCCGAGATTTAAATTCCTCGCGTTTTGTCGCCAATTCGCGCGAATTTATATACGCTCGAAATTATTCGGGCAACCGCCATTAGCAATTTCGACGGAGGCGGGAGGAAGAAGAAAACGCGGAGAATAGAGTATACGGGTCGTCTATTTGCGAATACGCGTGGTCAGAGTTGACGATGAAAATTAGCTCGACCCTGGAGATTGAATACTATGCTCGCTCGGAAATCTTTCGAGAAATTGCCACGAGGACGTAACGTTGGGTAACGCGAGATCTCTGCTTGTCCGCAGGTTCATGATAGGCCAGTATGTGACGGTGCACGGTGACGTGATATCGCACGTGAACATCAGCGTGGTACACGTGGAGGACGGCGGAGAGTACCGGTGCACGGCGGCCAACAGGATGGCGAAGGTTCACCATTTGGCCCGTCTCAACATTTACGGGCTTCCACACGTTCGACCAATGGGGAACTACGCCGCGGTGGCCGGCGAGATCACCGTCATCAAATGTCCGGTCGCCGGTTTCCCGATCAGCAGCATCACTTGGGAGAAGGGTCAGTGATGGCCGCGTGTAGCCCACTGAACATTTCCACCCCGACGCATCCGACGCGCGTCGTATAATCGAAACGCGATTTCGCTGCTGATGCTGTCGTGACCACCCCGAGCTGGCCATTAGCGACTCTTCCCTCTGTATACGTGCAGGAAACCGAGGAACGTTTACTTTAATCTCCTCGTCGTCGTTGCCGCGCGTCACCCTTTCCGTCTTGGCCGCACCGCGCGGAAAATACGGATTAAAGCGGGAATTGAAACGCTCGCGACGCATAAAGAGCCCGTAAATAAGTTACCGCGGTCCGCAGTCCAGCGTACCCTCGCAAATCTGGCCGGCAAGGAGACGAATGAAATTTCAGAGAAACTGAAAGTACCGTCGGTTTTTCGAGCGTTTTAAATGAACTTTTTGCCGAGAGCGGGGCTACGCGCCGGTAGAAAGGGGGCGAGAGCGCTGGAACGGGGTAGAGCTCCGGGGGTTTTATGCCGGCAGAAACTCTAGCTAACCGGCATCCGAACGGCAACGACCAAGTTCGAGCGTTTCTTTTCCGGTAACGATGAACCCAACTCCTGGAAAAGTTTCAAACGCTGGCCCCGTAACTTTCTCCCTTTCACGAGCGATCTAGCGTGACGTCGCGCGCGCGATACCCGCCACAGCCACACTTTCAAAGTCGTCGCACGCCAGCTGCGATAAGGGTATCGGTGGTTCGGGTATACCGACGATTTCACGCGGGAAAATCGACCGAGTCGGTGTTGGTACGCGTGTAAAGTCGCTTGTCCGCGTGTCGCAAGGTCATCAAGGGTAGTTGGGTCTGCGTAACCGCGAGCAAATAGCCCTCGAATATTCTTCGAACCCTGTGACTTTCTCAACGCGTGACACATCCGATCCTTCCGAGTCGACGCGTCATTCGAGATCCATCGATTCGCTCCAGCGTCCAACGAACCGCGAGATTTTCGCGAGACGTCGTCGAAACTCGGGCAATCGGGCTTGCACCGCGACCAATTGCACCCTGGCAAAGGGTAAAGGCGTCGTTTCCTTTCTACCGTACCTGTCATTCGCGTGCCTGACGAGACAAAGCGTCGGTTCGCTGGAAAATTGGCCCGTGATATCTAAGAGACACCGTTTCGTTGGTACCTGCAGACGGAAAGGTGCTGCCGACGAGCCGACGCCAGGAGGTGTACCCGAACGGCACGCTGGTGCTGCATCACGTCGACAGAAGCACCGATCACGGTGCATACACGTGCACGGCGAAGAACAAGCAGGGTCGTTCCGATTCGCAGACGGTGCACATCGAAGTGAAAGGTAAAGTTTCATCCCTCTTTGACTCGTTTAACGTTACCGGAGATTCTGTCTGCTTGAATTGAAGTAACAGCGTGCGTACCGCGACGTCACTCGTCACCACGGCTGATCCGCTCTGTCAGGATTTCTGTCCTAGCAGCGGCCACCGTTCCCGTGAACGCGGACCGAATCTCGTGCAACGCAACCGGTCTTCCGGGGATAAAAGTCACTCGTTCAGCGGTGCATCGTTCCCGCGGCCCTGCTTTTCCCCGGTTATAATCTCGGGGAAAAGGGACACTGGAGACGTTCCGTTTCTCGGAACCATGTTCGAACGAGGCTCGTAATTGTCTCGATCCGGATTTGTTTTTCCACTTTTTCCAGCGAGACGATTCCACGAGATTTCTATACGATTTACCGCGTATTTACGTCGGCCCCGCGTATTTTTGTACCCCCTTTCGCTGGCCGATTCCGATTGAATCCCCCGGCTCCGACGGAAATAATACCCTGCTTTTCGCGGTAATGAAACGAGGTTGCTCGCGAATTATTACATATTTTTCATCGGAAATCGGAGTACGCTATCGGAATAATTCGTCCAAAGATCGATATCTCGTTGCGCTGGTTTTCAATCCGCGATCTCCGTCGCACGCTGTTGTTCCAATTGAAGCAAGAGGAACGAAAAGTCTGCATTTCAATTGTGACACTGTTTAACCGTTTTCTTCGTATCCAGTTATAGCATCGAATCGATAAGACTGCGAAACGTTTCTTGGATTAATAACGGTTTCAGATCGACGATTTTTACCGCACCGATCACGCTGAGCCGTTTTCACAGGTAGGACACACGCGATAGGCGTCGTGGGTCTTTCTAGGGTACAGAGAAAAAAAGAAAACGGGTGTCCAGAGACTGCGAAACTGTAGATACGTACATGTGTGCGTACGCGTAATCAGGCTCGCGTTACGACCGATGTCGTTGAACTCTCGAGAGTCGAGGGGATAACGTTGACGCGACGAAAAGAACGCTCGTTCCGTAAGAGGATAGAACGCATTGAAAACGGTTGTTCGCGTGGAATCGAACCGATCGTGCTTCGGGAAGCCCGAAAAAAGAAAGCGATCGAACGCTGCGCGTCGACGAGGCGTCGAACGATAACGACCGATGCGTACGCCTTTTGTCTCCTTTCAATCGCGTTCTCCGCGTTTACGATTCTGCGATTATTCGACAAAGGAAAGAAAAAGCTGAAAAAAAGAGAATTTGGAAAAAAGGGGAAAAAGACGGAGGAAAATTCTGTTCGCTCGGTGCCTCGATCCGCTAGACTGTGACTCGCGACGAAACTCGAGGGGTATATAGAAAGAGGAGGTTGCCCGTTGCGGGTCGTGATGAAGTAAAAATGTGTCGTGATCTCCTGTAATTTTCAGTACCGCCTAAAATCGATCAGTTTAGCTTTCCTGCCAATATACAAGAAGGCACGCGGGTGCACGTGGTCTGCGTGGTGAGCGATGGCGATTCACCGCTGAAGATCACCTGGCTGAAGGACGGCAGGCCATTGAATTCCACGGAGACGACCACCCATCAGATCGGCAACTACGATCTCGCGTTGATGATACAGAGCGCGACCACGGCGCATAATGGCAACTATACATGCGTTGCGAGCAACGATGCCGCCGAAACGTCTCGCACGGCATCGCTATTGGTCCATGGTACGCAGGGACGGATACGGTTAACAAATCCCTACGGGAATCGAGATTTCGATCCGACGATTTCTTCCTCGTTTAATCAATCGCGATACCCCTTTATTCCCCGAAGCATCGATGCCGTCTGATCACGGTGATTCGCGTTATCTCGTCTTCCTTTTTCCCGCGCGTTTCCATTCGGTCGAAAGAGCGCGTTCGCTTCGAGCAAGTAGCGTTAAGGCCGTTTCCGTCCATATCCGCGATGTTAAACACGGAAAATGCCGAAGGTTCGTCACCGTGATCATGGAAAAGGCATCGCGAACGCGTACAATCATCGGTGATTGAAAAGTTCACCGGTGACGCGGGCCGCGAAGCGCGGTGAAGCGTTTTCCGCTCGTCAGTCGACAACTTTTCAGCTGCCGCGCGAACCATTCACTCCGCCAACTCCCACTCTACGAATCTGCCTCTTTTTTTCTCTCTCTCTCTCTCTCTACGGTCACCAATTTCAGCCACGATCGTCTTTTATTTCCAACCCCCCAATTCCGACAACTCGGTTAGGAAATTTTCGTTCGGTTCACAGCCTGTCTCCCATTTAAAACAGCCAACGAACACGCCGACGTATGATTTCACGCTCTATTTTCTTTCGTTTCTGTTCCACACGACCGCGGTTCGCGACCTTTTCTCTCTTTCTCTCTCTCTCTCGCTCTTCCCGCCCCTGCTCTCTCCCTTACACCCTCGCCAGGATAAATTCCGCAATTGCCGTTGACGAGGGACGCGGAATGGCCGTGAAACGGCCAGGAAAAACGAAGGAAAAAGTGCACCCCGGCAGCGTCGATATTAATCGTCAACGCGGCACTCGACGGCAGAACCTCTCGACCGGTTGGAAACTCCCGATGTAAAGCACGCAAGATCAATCGTTGCCACTCTTCATCCTCGGGCGAGGATTCTGCCTTCCCTTCTCTTCTTTTTTTTTTTCTTTTTTTTTTTTATTCCCCTCCATCGTAGCTCTTTCCACGCTGCTCGTTTGCGTGGAGCGCACGCGAGCGAACGAGCGAGCGAGCGAGCCATCTTCCTCTTGCTCGCGCCTGCAGTCAGAGCTTTTTCTCGTTTTCGTCGTCTGTCGGGGGCGACGGGGGCGGTCGACATTAAAAACCACCATCACCGACACCACCATCGCCATATCCTTGGAATTCTCTCTAGACGAACAAATCAGTGCAAGCGGAACGAACGTACGGGGCGAACGAAACTGTTGGCCGACGTACGAAACGAACGGCCTAAGGGTGATTTTAACGCGTCGCGCTTCGTGACGAGCGGCGAGCCGAAACAGCATCCTCGGCTACGCGTGTCGCCACGAATCCACGCGTGCACACCGACTGTCACGGTAAATGATCGTCCGATCTCACCTCCCCGTATCTTTCTCCTCTTCCCTTTTCCAACGAGGGTGTATTAAGAGTCTGCCTGTCTGGACCCTCCAGGCCAGACGCTCGATCACGGTATGTACAATGATCGATGTCGTTATTTCACGAGCACTCGATGTTTAATTCGTATCCGTTTAAACCACCGTCTGTACAACTCTT